CCTATCATGCAGTGCAGGCTTGTGGGGTGTCTGAGCACCTGAGGTGCTTGGGTTAGCTGCTCCCTGCGCTTCCCAGCCAGAGGAGCATGTCAGAGGGCTGCTGGGCATGCAGGAGTTGGACACCCACACTTCCATGTGCAGCTCCTCCTGATGCTGACAGGCCTGTCGTGTCACTCGTGAGATGCTGCTGGGGCTCTGGTTCCTAGCGTGGGCCTTTAGCTTGAGGCTGCCAAGTGGTGATGCAAAAGCGTGAGGAGAGAGAAGAGGATGGAAGAGAGCTCCATACTGCAGAGGGCTCTGCTCAGCGCTCTGAAGAGCCACGTTTTCCAATTTGCTGCTGCTGTCAGCCTGTGCCTGCTTTAACGTTGTCAAGGCTGTATTGACTATTTGGTGGGATCCCCTGTAGGCATTTCCAAGTCCGGGATCCTGCACTGTGTCTTGAAGAAGATGGATTAAGTGATGTTTCTGTGCTGCTTGCAGGTGAGTATCCCCAACAATGTTTTCTTGCCCAGCAAAGCGCACTGGAAGAGATCCCTACATGGATTCAGTCCATAGTTGAGGTCAGAAAGTCGTCCCTGTGGTGGTGCCGCTGGTGCTCGTGGCTGCAGTTACACAGCACAGGTGTTGCTTAGCGGTAAGCCTCCTGGTCTGTGAAGGTGCATTCACAGGTCCTGCAGGTCGCTCCACCTGTTGCCTCCACTTCTGCACAGATGGCCTGTGGTTCAGTGGTCCACCATAAACCAGATTTTTAATAGCAGGGTTCTGGAGGATGGATGGCTGTTCTGAGACGTGTATTCTCTTCTGTTGCCTCGGAATCATCCCATTTATATGAAATAAATTGAATTACATGGATGTAATTACAGCATTCCACAACAGAATGGAAGGTCGTAATCCATTCCAGACTTAAAAATATAAATATCTGCAAATGTGAATTCAAGTGATTTTGGCTTTGCTGATTCAGGAAAAGGATTTGGATTTGGGAAAAAGATTTGGGAAAAGGTTCCCTAGTTTGCAGAGTGCCTCAGATCCTCAAAGTTCACATTTAACAATTAATGATATTGGCAATAGAGTCCTAGTGGTTCGTCTTAGTCACAGTCTGGTAGTTCTTACCTGTGCTTGTAGTTGGGGTGACTGCTCTTGGCAGGGGTGAATGTTCGTTTTCTTGGCTGCACAGATGCAAGCTGAAGGAGGGTCTGAATGACAGCTCTGACACTCCATTCGCCCTGCCGTGACTGACTGACTCGCTGGCTTTTGTTGTTAGAAGAACTGTTTGAAGTCTCAGCTGATGGTGATTGAGCCAGGGAAGGAGCTAGTACCACCTGGGACCTATTTTGCACAACAGATCAATAAGATGAACAAGCTTTCTTTCAAAATGGGAACTAGTTTGTGCCCGTTGTTCAACCACCTGTGTCTGTCTTACACCATAGTACATAAGCTTGGAGCGAGGACATTCCTTCAGTGCGGAGTATTTTACTCCATTCCTATATGAATTTGATATTTATTTCCAAGCACAGGTGTTCTTTAAGCCCCTGGTAACACACATGGATGTTTGTGAAATGCATTATCTTGGTCACCATTTGCTCTGCAAGGCAGGTCTGCCCGTACTGGGTATGTGTCATGTCCTTGGCTGATGCTGTTCCTCTGGGACCCATTTGACTGTCTTACAGTCAGATTTTCCATCTAGGAAATCATCTTGAGCATTTTCTTCTTTATTATCAAACCTTTTGGACGAACTGGTATTTTTACTTCATGGTTAGTGAGGGTGACTTATCTCCCTTGGCATTTAGAAACCTGAGTCCTTCTCATGCTCTCTACATCCTCTCTGCTTTTGAGAGGACTTCTGATACCATTTCATTGCTTTGCTCTGTCAGATCCCCGTGTTCACCTTGTTTAGCTGTAAGAAAACACTTGGTTAGAAAAGTGCTGTGTCTTAAGGTTAAAAGGGTCTTCGATGTTGCCAGCATTAACTGCATACCTGAATGGTGCTTCTCGCTGAGTTGTTTCAAAAACTGTTGCCCACTGCTGAAATGGTTTCTTTGCTTAAAGAACTTCCCGGGTGGCTGTTACTGAGAGTTTCCAAGCAGAAACCTTTGCAGTCATAGAATGGGTGCGTAGATAAATGTTTGAAGATGAAAAAAGCTTTAGTATCCGACTGCCAGCTGCCAAATCTCAGCAGGAGCTCTCAGCCACGTGGCCATCTGCTGTTCTTTTACCCTTCCTTGCAGTCAAATGACTCGACGTTACAGGCTGAGAAGAAATAAGTGTGCACTCTGAGTAACAGAGTGTGTTGAGAGGAGCTGGCAGTGGGATCTAAATGGACCTGTGGAGAGCTTGATCAAAATAAGCCTCTTTTGGGGTTTTGGTCATCCATGGGTGGGTCTCGAGGAAATCCAGGAAGTGATTTAACTTCCCTTTTCTTTGAAAATCACAATTTACTGGAAATGTCGGTTGTTATTCCATAGCACTTTTTCTTGTTGGAGGAATAGATGTTCTTTTATAGGTTGACTATTACAACAGAAGAGCAGGGGCTTTAGACCAGGAAGAACTGAACGCAGCTGTAGCTTCCTTGGTGTGACGAGGTGTAGGAGGTCAGTGCCTCTGCAGAAGAGGAGATCTCAGGAGATCTCGTTGCTCTTGGCTCTCCCTACACGCTGGTCACTGAGCCTGAGCTTTCTCTAACCACAGCACTGTGCTGATTTGCAAAACCTAACGCGATGCTGGCGTGTTTGAAAGCAAGACTGTGGTTCGGAAGGGAACCAACAAGTAACTCTTGCCCTCTGCTCAGATGCAATTGGGTATTTGCTCAAGAAATTTCCAAATTTTGCTCATTCCACTGGGAAGGAATTCGAGTGTGACAGGAGACATCCTTAATATTGTGCTGTTGGCACTATTGTGTCACTGTGGATAATATTGCATGCTGGAGTAGGGAAGTTAAGCTAGAGATGGAATGAGCATGGAGGACATGGCAGAAGCAGATGGAGGGAGACCTGGCTGTTCTAAAACATTCTCATAGTGATGAGCAGCTGGCTGCATTTTGCTTAGAGGAGTAGTTCAATATAAGGCAATTAAACTGTAGTTGCAGAAGAATTTTTTCCCCGAGTTAATTCTGTAGGTCCCTGTTATGAGATGAGACAGAATTAGACTTGAATTACGTTGCTGCACTCCCTGTGCTCTTTAGGCTAGGGCTCGGGCTTGGGGAGTTAAAGCCAAGAGAGCTCCCTAGTGCTGAGAACAGATTAACTTGCTAATACTTGAATTAAAAGAGTTTAGAATATGTTAAGTGTTTAGCGTTGTAGCCCTGGGAATATACACCAGCAAGTATCTGATTAAAGTAGTTGCTTTGTTTAATAGGATATTTAGATACCTCAGGGTAAAGCAGGAGTAGTTGTGGTTCTCTTATTTAAATTAAAAACAAACAAACAAAAAAAACCCACAAACACTGAAAAAGTCTAATGGCAAATAAGACTGAGTAGAATAAGATCCTGTGTTCAGCCTGATGGTCTTTCTGCGTCTGGCTGTGGTTTCATGTATTTTATCTTCATATCACAAACAAAATAGGCAAAAAACATAGAACAAAATCTGAGCACTTAAAAATAAAAAGCTGGAGTGCTTAAAAAATGAAGAAACCAGTATTTACAAATATTTGAAGTCTCACTTCTGGGACATAGAAGTTCCTGCTTAATAAAACATTTTAAGCCCTTAACTATATGACCACTAGATGTCTCTCTTTGAAACGTTTTAGTTATCTCAAATTTGATTGCTACCTGTTTTTTCACCTCAGCCTCTAAAATGAGAAGTCTTTACTATATTAAGGTTTTTGATAGAGGTAGAGATGATTGCATCTCTGTCACTTCTGTATTTCAGTAGGAGAAATGAATGAAATTGCAAGTTACAGTTGTGTAGAGCTAAATTTTCTTTTGATTAATAGGTAGCAATGCATATAGCTGCTTTCTTTCATAGCAATTTCCGAGTTTTGATCAGAGTTAACGTTATGTGATGGTGAAACTTTTTCTGTGCATGAGAAGAATAATTTTACTGTATGATAACTATGTCTATGAGTGTTCATATTTCTAAATACTCAAGCTCTGTAAATAATAAGAAATGTTGTCATTTAGAAGGACTAACTAGCTTCTGAAGTGGGTTGCCCTTTCTGAAGAAGGGCAACCTCCCTTCTTGAAGCGGGAGATGGAGGCTCTTGTAACCCCACTGTTTTTAAATTGGTGCATGGAGATGTTAGGTGGGCAAGGCAGATGAGTCATCAGCTTAGATTTAAATAAGGAAGTTGGCAGCATGGTCCAAACCAACACTGCACTGAGCCGAGCCTCATTCAGGCTGACATCCCAAATCTATTTCAGTCGATATACGTGTTTGCATTGACTTCAGTGGGCTGCAGACAAAACCGTGAGTATACGGGTGGCAGAGGTGTGTGTTTCCAGTGTACCTCTTCCTTCTGCATCCTTGTATCCCCAGGCTGACCTCAGAGGCTGAAAGGTGCAGAGCAGGGTGACAGAGCCCTGGCACAGGCTGCCAGGGAGGCTGTGGAGTCTCCTGCTCTGGAGATCTTCCAAACCCGCCTGGATGCCGCCCTGTGCTCTGGGTGTCCCTGCTGGAGCTGATTGATTGAGCTGCTGGACCTGATGATCTCTGGAGGTCCCTTTCAACTGGGAAGGTGCCTCAGTCGTGTGGCACTGATGTAGTGGCATCAAAGTGCTGAATGCCAGAGAATCTGGCTTGATTTGTGGTCGCATGGAGCCATCTGATACGCTGTTAAACACCATATGTGACATGCCGAGACATGATGACTGTCTGCAAGTCTGAATCTGCAAGGCCCTTCTGACCCAAAACAGAATTTCTGGGAGAAAAAGTCCTAAATGGAGCTCGGTTATGGAACTGGATACTGTCTCCAGTTATGGTACTCCTGTTCTATGACAAATTAAATAATTTAAGTCTTGCCTGACGAATTTCTCCCTCTGGCTGCCTCCTAGTGCTGAGCGCTGCCCCGCAGGGCTGCCGGCGCCATGGGCCCGCCGGCGTTCGTCCTCGCGGCGCTCCTGGTGCACTGCGTCTTCCTGGCTTCCCTCTTTGACATCTACTTCAGCTCCCCGCTGGTGCACGGCATGGCCCCGCAGCGGGTCCCGCTGCCCGCTCCGGCCAGGCGCCTCGTCCTCTTCGTGGCCGACGGCCTCCGCGCGGACGCCCTCTTTGGACTGGATGGCAGCGGGGCGCCTCGCGCCCCTTTCCTCAGGTGAGTGCCTCTGGAAACGCTCCAGCGGTTGTTGTTCATTAGCATGGTGGTCTTCCAAGCTGCTGCTGTGTCTCACTGCAATAACGTGGTCTGGTTTAGGATGGTGAGAAGCTAACACACCACAAACGAGTGCTCGAAGCCTTTTCATCCGAGTGCTTAAAGTTCCTTGTTTTCTAATATCAGGGCAAATGTTTGTCAGTCAAGTAATTTCCAAGACTTAAAAAAATGAACAAAATTCAATAAGCCTACTCTTGCTTCCTAGCCTACCAATAAGCCTACTATTGCCAGTAATAGTACTGGTTTAGCTTGAATATCAGAACAAATCCAGGTAATCGTTTGTCTGGAGCTGTTACAGTGTTCCAGTCTGCTGTGGAAGTGCAAGGAAAATGCTCTGTGCTGCAGCACTTGTGGTGCACACGGCACAGAGTGGGGTTGCTTGCAGCTGCTCGTGCTGAGCTGCAGTGTTTCTGTAAGGTGCTAGATGCCCCTTGCAGCGGCTGCCACCTCCACATGAGTTTTCCATGCCTTCTTTTGGCAGTGCACTTCGTGGCTTCTCCAGAGCAGGTTTTCTTTATATTGGTAAAAGTGTTGGGCTTTGGCACAGTCAGCAGGCTGGGAATGCTGTAATGCCCCGTCACTAGCAGCAGCGATGAATAACAGCTAAGGAAGAGTTATACTGGATAATTTCCTCTTAAAAGTGTATCTTGAATTTCCTCAGATTCAGCAAGTTGGTGTTATCACGCCTATCTAAAAATAAAAAGACAAACCATATACCAACTTTCCATACCAGCCCCAGTGCTTAGGGAACCCGGGCAAGTTCACAGTTCTGCTACCTTTTCATTACGTTGTTTGTGGAGTTAGAGCAGACTTTTGTTTTCCAAAATCACCAGATTGAGACACTTACCTGCAAGGAACACATGGGGCCAGGAGGGGAGGAACTGCCTTTCAGCTGGGTCCATGTGTGGAACAGGCTGCCAGGGGAGCGTGCGGGGGCATCTGTGTGAGTCTCCCTGCCCATGAAGTCGCACACGTGTGTGTGTGTGTAAGAGCATGAAAGGAAAGCCTGTGGTGAGCTCCCCATCTGGGAAGGTGGAAAACCTGGTAGGGCTTGCGGCTCCCTTCCATTGCACCATACTGCTGGAGCTGGGAAGTGATCTTGTGTCTGCAAAGCCTTGAGCTGTCCTAAGATTATCTTGCCAAAGAGGCCGACGGCAGCAGATGCTGGTGGCTGGAACCAGCCTTTCTGTTGCTTTCCTCCAAGTGATTGCTGACTATTTGTCCATTTTGAGACAGCCCCGAAATATAAGCAGTTTTACATAAAAGCTCGTTATTGTATGCTCGTTCCAAAGTGTCAAGTATTAAGTCCGTTGCTCACTTTATAGCAGGAGGCAGCAGAGCAGCCAGACAACTTCTCATCTGGGTGGAACACTTGAGAACCACTTCTCCCTGTTAATGAGGAAAGATTATCATTAAATGAGCTAGGGCCCTTCTTGTCCTAACACGCTGGAAAACGGAAGCGAGTTTTTTAGTAGATGCATAAGATTATTCATAAATATAATCCATTATGCTTGGAGCAGATCACTGACGTGGTATGCCAACTCTTTGGTCTTTTCACCTACAAAATTGCTTCAAAAATGAGCACTTTCTGCAGCATCGAAAAAGCTGCAAGGACGCCTGGGCAGCGTCTTCTGAACTGCATTGCCATGGTGTTGAGAGCTGTGGGAAGACTTTTTTTCCCTTGCTTGGCACGTTTCAACTGTGTTACGGTGTCCTGACCGTTGTAGATATGGGTTGCTGTCTCTGCTATCAAGGAAAGTAATTTTTAAAAAGATTCTGTCCAGTAAAGGGTTTTGACATAGTTTTACATGACTAAATGAATTTTGAAAAGGTAAATGCCATTCTAGCTGTGCTGCTTCTACCTGACTTGTTTAGATTCTGTAATATAAAACCTGAAAAGCAAAGGCAGAGGATTGCTTTTCAACTTAATAAAATCAGTTTCTTACCTGTTGACACTGCAAAATGCAAGTAGGACCCAAACTTTTTTATTGATGTAGTTTTCCACTAATGCTAATGCAGTGTTTCAATAAGTCTCTATTAGAGAGAGGGGGGAAAAAGTTAGAAACCTTTTTATCTGATATTGAAATCCTTTTCCAAGTAATAATTGTTTTAAATATAATTTGTCTTACATCATAGGAGACCATAAACTAGGAGTATAACGGAGCATTATATCAGCTTTTTCATTCTACACTGTAATATTTGGGTTGTATTTTTGAAATAGGCCTGAAAATGTGAGATGAGTTTCAAACAGACAAACAAACAAAAACCTCAAATCCAGTCAGCTTAGTGTGGATCCTAGTGTTTTAAACTGCTTTGACTCTTATTTTATTACTGCAAAATGGGTTTGAAACAGAGTACACAGATCTTGCAATAAGCAGTTGAATGAAGTAAGGGTGTTCTCTGTTTGAGTTCACACAGAATCCCAGAATCTTCAAGGTTGGAAGGGACCTCTAGAGATGATCTAGTCCAACCTTCCTGCTCAAGCAGGGACACCTAGAGCATGTGGCACAGGGTGGCATCCAGGTGGGATATTTCATGTTTGGAAACCTTTTACTTCTATCTACTGATGGGCTGTGAGCACATGCAATTAAAAATAGCAAATTCTCTAACTTGCATTTTGAACAACAAAGCTCAGAAACGTCTACGTTTTTATCTTTTTCCTGTCTTTTTTCTTTAAATCTTGAGCATTAGTGTAAAGCATGTCTCATTTATTTTACCTTGCCCAGACTTTGGGCATTGAGTATTTCTTCCAGGAGATGGAGACAAGAAAACAGTGCACGGCTGTGCTCACTGCTCGCTCTCCGACAGGCTCCAGCTGTTCACGTCTCTAGTCTCTTATGCTTAGGCTTTTGTCCTCTATTTTCTCATCTTTTTATCAATTATTGCTCTATATATGCATGCTGTTAAGACAGCTAACACTTCCATATGTTTGATGAGGATGTATCCTCTCTCACTTTGGTGAAATTGCATCAAATATGGGGCTTGCCTGAATTCGTCCGTGTTTTTCCAATGATTTGCTGCTTTTGTTTTCCGTTGTTTCTACATCCTCTTGATGCTGACTTCCAAGATTGAGCACAGATAAAGAAGACAGACGTGGTTACAAGAGCTAATTATGATTGAACATATTTAATGAATAAAGGGACATTAATCTAGACACTTTCAGTCTTAATGGAAGGAACAAAGAAAACGCTATACCAGACAGTAGCAATCTAGTGGGAGGGGAAAAGTGAACTGTATTAGAAAAGAACCAAAAAATAACATTAATTCTAATTGTAGATAAACTTGCCTCTTTGAAGTGCTGATGGCCCCCAGTAGTAATGATCTCTGTCATTTGATTTGATCATCTACAATTCTGAATGACTTGCAGGTTAATATTCTGCTTGCATTGCTGCAGAGCAGTATACAGGGAAAAATTGTTTAAATTGGGTCTTTTTTTCATTTCTTGCTTAAGATCTACCTGTCACTCTTAGACACAATGGAGTGTCAAGCACTAACAACTTTTTTATCCTGTTTTCAGGAGTATTCTGGAGAATAACGGTAGCTGGGGGATCTCTCACACCCGTGTCCCAACCGAGTCTAGACCAGGCCACGTTGCACTGATAGCTGGATTTTATGAAGATGTCAGTGCTGTTGCTAAAGGTATGCTAGTTCTAAACCTTCCTATTTTGTCCTCCTCAGTAATGTGTTTTAGAGATGCAGTAGCTTTCTAAATCCTGGCATAATTGTTTATATACTAAGATTATCTGCAAAACATAAGCTTCTTATAGAAGGATATTGTTAACAGTGAATATTAACAGCAGAGAAAAAAATAGATTCACATGCTTTTACTTTAGAATAAGATACTATTTTGCAGCACAGTGAAACTTAAGTATAGTGGTCTTAAATTGTAAAAGCAGAGGTGCCTTACAGGCTGACTTCAGCAGTTTTTAATTATGATTGGGGAGATGGTTATGCAGATACCCATAAACAAGAAGTGAGCTGCAGCATTGGAACTGAACTGCCTTGTTAAGCTGAGCTAGAAGAAGGGAATTTGATTCAGTGGGGAATCAAAGCAGAAGCCCCAGCTCTGTGTTTCATCCAGGGAGGTGGTTGAGGGTTGGTAACGTGGAGCAAAACCTCATCTTTCTGACCCGCTGTTTCGCATGCAGCTCTGCCCTGTCCCAGGCCCAAACACTTGCAGGGTTGTGTGTTGTTTTTGGAAAGGGGAGGCGAGAGAGGAATTATCTGATGTTGTCCATGTTTCTAATCAAAAGGTTCTTCATTCTCCCATCTATAAATGAAGATTTGGCAGGAATGGCTGTTAAGAGCATCTCTGTCAACTGCCTTGTCATGGAAATAGAAAATCTTGAAGGTTTTATTGTGAAGGGGTGGAACATAGCTGTTAATGTGATATATGAGTGTAATTTATTGCCTGAAATCTTGAAAACTGAGCACAGAGGTCAGGCAGCAAGGAATATAGCATTGAGAAGAAATTTAGCTTTGGAGAAGGTAAAACAGCCCTTTTTTCTTTTTTTCTTTTTTTTTTTTGAAACCCTGCCTAATAGGCTTGGCTTAGGTTTTCAGCCCATTTCATATTGAATGGGGAACTAATTGCAAACAGACTGAAGCTGAAGTAACACTGAGACCTGCACTTTATAGTCCGTTGTCAAATAGTGGAGACTTTTGATGTGTTTTGCCTGCATTGTCAATTTTAACAGTCAGTGAGATGTTTTGGCAGCCCCACTGAAATCTGTGTGTGTGATGGGTGCTCTTGTATTTCTGTACCAGGCTGGAAGGAGAATCCAGTGCAATTTGACTCCGTTTTCAATGAGAGCAAGTATACTTGGAGCTGGGGAAGCCCAGATATTTTGCCAATGTTTGCCAAAGGTAAGATTTAATTTTTATGGATCTTTAATATGCATCAGGTAATAAAATAGAGTCTTACCGTTTTTAAGAGTTAAATGAAGTGAATGAAGCATTTCCACTTGGTGTATTTTCACCAGTCTTCACAGATTGTTATTTCTAGTTTGTGGATCCTTCAGTGGGTGGGGAAGAAGTAAGTTTTTAAAAAGGATATCCCTATGTGTTCCTTAGGCCTTACCTATTTCTGTTGACATACTAAAATAAAAAGACACCCGTAAAGGAAAGGACCTATTCTTTTCTTCCTTGGTTTGTTGTTGAACATCAAAGCTCTGGTTTGCTGCCACGCAGCTAGGGCTCTTCCTTCTCTTCCTTGCAGCCAAAGTGAATCAGCTGATGGAGCTGGAGCTGTCCCCTTTTATGGGCCTGATCTGGAGCAGTGGCTTAAGGTGGATTTGTTCAGAGCAGCCACGTGCAGAGAGCAGAGCTGCACATGAGCCTCGGTATCGTCACTGGCGCTGACATCTTGCCCCTTGTGGGCAGCATGTGGCCAGTCTCTGTCAGCCCAGGGCACTTGATCCCTGATGGGCACGATGTGGTTGTTAAACAGCATTCCAGCCTTCTAAAGAGCCTCAGAATTTAATCTCATTTTGTTGGTGGAAAAATGTGGATATATGCACCATTTCCCTCGATCTCAGAGTAAGGCTAGGAAAGCTGAGAGAGGTCCAAACTATGGGCAAATCCAACTGTTGTATTTAGATATCAATAGTCACAAACTAGAAAGAAATGATAGAATAGCACTAGAATCTAATTTTATAAAAAATATATATATATTTTCTTCTCATGAGAATTTTTGAACTTTATCTCAAATTTAGTTTCTTTTAACCTGCTGCCCCCATACTTCCCACACACTCACCTCTTTTTATGTTCCTGGATTGATAGTCATAACAGTTTATGATGAGCTATCAAAATATCTCCTCCTGATAACTTTGATAATATATACTTTCCCAGGACCTCTGATTGCAGTTTGTGTTTGGGACTCTTGGCTGGGATGAGGGGAAAGGTAACAGTACGCTACCCTTGGGCAGATTATTTACATTTCTTGGAGCCATGTGTTCTTGGGAAACTATTCCTCAAATTCAGGAAATTCCCAGAGCCCCGTCCTTTAACCAGTCTTATTTGAGTGAGGAGATAAGCAGAGGACTGGAAGCAGCCTTGATGTTACTTGGAGGACTATACAAGAGTAATAACTACAGCTCCCATGTGTTTAAAAATATGGCTTGTTCTGAGCAGGCTCCAGTAGTTGGACTTTAATTCTTTTTTTTTTTTTTTTTGCTCTCCCCAAAAGTCCACTTTGCATGGCCTGTAGCTACAGTGCTTGAGGAACACTTAGCGTAGTGCTGTATTTGAAAAACAGTGGCTGCCTTAAAAAAAGGATTGCACTGTCTGTGCAGTTTGTTAGTGCTGTTAGGAAATTTCTAAAGCATCTTCAAAACTAGACTTTGTCACTTTCTAATGGTTCAATATGGTACCTGACACAAAACTAGCCTGCAAATTCTGGCTCTATTTTTCGTAACTATTCAGGACTAGAATATGTATAATTTCCTAGAGAAGCTTTGTGCCCTTGAAGTTACCTGGAAATAAGGTACTTAAACATCTGTACTTTATTTCTAGAATGCTCTTTCAGATTTTGAAGTTTTCTTCTAGACTTGCTAGAAGTTGAGATTTGACCTATCCTGTTTTATCATGGATCAGGGCTCCAGAGTCACAGTGAGTTGAGCACTGAAGCTGGGTTTCTGCTGAGGGAGGTAAATACAAACCCTGTGCACCCAGGTTGTTGCTTACTCCATGAGTTCCCATTCCCTCTCCAGAGCATTAGCCGTAAGGCTTGTACGGGTCATTGCTTAGCTTGAACCCTGAGCAGGTGCTATAAAGACCATGGAGACAGTAAAGCCAACAAGATTCCAACTTAGGCTGGGATTATTCGGGAGAGACTGTGCACCTGAGTGTCTGAATACGAGCAGACCTGCCGTGCAGTGCTGCAGTTCATTGCTCCTGCCGTGTGCTGGTGCAGCACAGATTCCTCACCCTCCCTCTGCTCCGAGCTTCTGTTGAGCCACAAAAGGCATCAGACCCAGGGGCTGCCTCGCTAGCTCAGGACATTCTTTTTTTGCAAGAGGGAATCCTTGCAAAAGGATTCTCTCATCCTAATACTTGAATCTTGATATTGAGGGCTGAGAAAACATGCTGAGTGGAGGCCTGCAGCAGGGATGGCTGGTGTCCGGGGTAGAAGTTTATGGTATCCAGTTATTTCTGTTAGTGCAGGTGGTGGCACTGAACCCAGTAAAAGTTTCAGGATTCCTTCTTCTTCTCTTTGCCTTCTTTGCTGCCCCCTCCCATTTTCCCCAGATTTAAAGGAAATATCAGGCGCACTGCTGTCTACTACCTTTCACAAAACAAGTATGAAATATTTTAAGTGGTGGATTGAGTAGCCTGTGTGTTTCCTCCCGTTTCCATCTGCTAACTGCTTCAAAACTTCCCTGTGATTGCTCCACTTAGCCAAAGCTTTTATCTGTATGAATGTGGTGTTGGATGGTTTTTCCTCTGGGATCCATAAGACGTAGATGTGCTCCTTTACTGTGTACTTTCCATTTAGCTCTCTCTTGCTGCCCTTGGTGTGGTACCCCCCAGAAGAGCCGTCTTTGAGGGTTCTTGTAACACTGCACAACATCAGTACAGAACCTCCTAGAGCATTGGTCCTTCTGGCAGTCCATGGCTTATTTCTTCTTCCTTCATCCTCTCTCTCTGCCAAGTTGATCTCCTTAATGATTTTTGTTTTAATGCCTTGGAGTATTTTTTCCCCTTTTCTTTCAGACTGAGAAACTGCCATGAGTATTCTGGGTTGTGAGTAGCAGTAGCATCTCCTGAGGGATGGGAGAAACTTTCTGTGTTAGCTTCCATCTTCCTGGACAGAAATACCTGCCATACACTTACATGGGTTTGGAAATCATCTTGGAAAAATAGCCCTTTAAAACTGGGCTCAAACTCTACAAAACTGCATTATATAATTGCCACATTGAGCAAATTGGTTGGATTGTCTGGCTATCTCCTTGCAGAAGAACATTTCTCCTTTGGGAGTTTGCATAGCCGTAATGGAACTAGCATCTGCAAGCTTTAACAGTGAGGGCAGCCACCGGCTGAGGAATGGCATTAAACCTGCCTAATTTCAGAGCTTTCCAGGATCTCAGAAATTCACTTCCTTATAGGTCTTAGTCTTTTTATCTCCCCCTTCCCTACTTCACTATCTTTACGCTGTGTCCAGAGTGAAGTTGTCTTGCCCAGATGCTGTGTTTTCGAATCAGAGGGCCTCCTGTTGAGCTTTATGCCAGTAGCTCCCTCTTTCATATTGCAGAAGCACGTTTTAAAGTTACAGACCTTGAATTTTGTCTTTATATAGTTGTCTGCTTGGTTTTCAGCACTGACTTGTCTTCCAGGGTTGATACAGAGTAGTTAAGTCGCACTGATGCTGTTCCTTTCCTCACCTGTGCTGTATGACGGCAGGACACTTATGTATTTCGGTTTAATAACTAAATCTTAAGAGTCAGGGATTCTGATACTGTGATTCTGTGATTCTCTCAGGTGATTGCTAAGCAGCATGTCCTAACATGACCCTTTTATGCTCAAATGAGACCCTGGGTGCTTAGCTTCCTCTCCCGAGTTTCCCAGGGAAACTCCTTTCTTCAAAGTTAAATGCTTTGCTTTATTTGCTTTAATTGGATTTTCTTCTATCTGCTTTTCCATACTTTTTCTTCACCTGAATCTAAAGGATAACATTGACTTAGAGATGCTGATAAGCTAATGACTTAAAGTACTAAGGCTTCAAAGCACCCAAACGATGGAGTAATTTAAACTAAAGGAAAAAACATTTTTTTCTCTTCTATCTTCTTTCAGATTGTCATTTTTGATGTGTTTCTGCTCCTGGATATTAATATTTGTGTCCTCTCAATTAAGAGAAAAGGAAGAAAACTTTTTACTGTATTATATCTATATTGTTTTTGCAGGTGCTAGTGGAGATCATGTTTATACATTTTGTTACACAGCAGAAAGTGAAGATTTTGGAGCACAAGATGCAGCGAAGCTTGACAGTTGGGTTTTTGATCATGTTAAGGTGAGTAAAGACCCCTTTTATGCCGCCTGTGCATGAAAAGCACAGCTGGAAGATGATGTTAATTATCGTTTTCTCTGTAGATCTCGGAAGTATCAAATTTATGAAAAATCTGTTGTTTGGGTTAATAATTAAACAAATGCTTGAATTGATTATCATTGTTAGTGTACTGAAAAATTAAAGGAAGCATTTGTCATTCAACACTAATCTTAAAAAAATACACTTTAAAAATACTGTGTTTTCCTCTGACATTTGCATATGCTCTGCACCCCATCCTTTTGGAATATTGCAAGCCCTTCACAATCTTGGATGTGTCAATGAGTCTCGATTATGACAAAGCAACGGAGAATATTCTTCTTGACTAATTTCTGCTCTAACTATAAAGTGTTAAGGTGATACGTGCAGGTGTCCCTTCCCTGCTGTGACTTGCACAGAGGAGCCCGAGCTGGCTGTGTCCTACAGGCAGCTTGGGCCCTGAGGCAGCCTGACTCCCTGCCCTGTGCTGTGCTCTGCTGACTCAAGCCAATGCTCATCCATGGACTGGTCATTTTTTGTGATTCCCTCTCCATACGTATTCGTATCCCAGTACATGTAGGTTGGATTTTAATTATTGTGAAGGCCTGGCTTTGTGTTGTGCTGTGCCTTCCCATTTGACCAGGATAATGAAATGTTGGTAAGTGGGTATTGGCTTAACTGTTTGTATCAGTGGAGCAATTAGAGGAGTTTTGACTTTCTGGATCTCATAATAACGTTGAATGCAATTTAAGATTTAATAAAGCTTTCCCACAGGCTCTCTGGACTGCACTAATGCAAGCCAAGGGTGAGTCTGCTTTAAAGAATGATGTTGGTGGAGAAGGATTCATTATAATTTGCTAATTCTGAAAGAGATGATTTTTCTGAGTCTGCAAGTGGAAAGATAGTTCTTTGTAATTGCCGTCCTCTCCCTGAATTTGCACTTTTACTGGGTTACATGTTGTAAAGTGTATGAATAATACAAAACAAATTAGACTTTTAATTTTACTTGAATAATTGCTGTCTTAAAGTTACACCCTGCTGTGAGTTGGAGTTGCCCAAGTGTTTGAGGGTGGTACCATCCTTTTTGCTTCAAAACACCTTACAGCATTTCTTCTTTCAGATTAAAATTAAAGGCACACTGATGACTTCCTGCTTGGAACCATCTTCTTTATTTTAAATACGTATTTTGCCTAGCTGCATTTCATGGTGTTGAATGGGTAGGACTTGACTGCCTAGTCCAAAGCCTCCATTCCACTAATCATCACTTCTATTGCACGTCGGTGATTGCTCCATGAGCATGAAAGCTTGAGGCTCACCAAAACTGAGGTCGCTCTGCTGTAAATCCAGCAGCTACACCAATAACAATGAGAATTTGAATTTGAAATCTGCTTTGACTAAAATCTTTCTCCCTCACCTGTTGCCTTTTGTCTCAGTTACTAAATGGCAAATCATCTGACCATGTCTTGAGCAAGGTGGTCCCGAGATTTCTGCTTCCTATTCCTAGGACAGGAATATTCCTTCCTTCTATTCCTTCCTATTCCTTCTTTCTGTTCCTAGGACAGGAATAAAATGGGTCCTAAAGTTTGGGACTGTGAGCTCTGGCATCCTCAGGTTGCTCTTTCTCTCTCTTTAATGCTAACCAACAATAACCTGGTTGGGACGGAGACCTGTGAACTGTAGCTAGTTTATATTGTACGGATCAGAAGCGGACTGCTTATAAATCATGACTAGAGGGAAGAAAATTTATTGATGCTTTGCAGTTCCTCTTAATGCTTGTTGGACAAAGTGTCCGTCACTCTGACCCAGACTTTTTTCTTCCTCTGGCAAACTGAGATGTTTTTCTTTTTTTCTTCTTTTTTTTAATTTTTTTTTTATTTATAGATAGGTTAAAACTCTTTGTGGAGTTGTATTATTCTGTGGCAGTGATTTGGTGATGGCTCCAGAACCAAATGGATGTGGAGTGGATGGAGCATTTTTGCCAGAAGCCTTCAAAATAATTGCGGGACTAAGCAGAATTTGCCTGGATGTGGCAAGTGTTTTACTTGGATCATGCTTTTCCATGGGCTTCTGCTAAGGAAAAAAATAGGGAGAAAAATATTGAAAGACCAGATTCTCAAACATTTAAAAAAAAAAGGTTGTTTTTTTTTCTTTGCATTTCAGATGCATTAAATTGTTTTTCTCAAAATACTTAACATTGAACATTTAGTTCAAACTGATTAAAATATCCCAGGCACTCGGGCAGTTTTGCAAATGAGAAAGTATCAATAATGCACATCAAACTGCAGTTTAATTTCTTAGACCTCTCTTGACTTGGACATGGGTGTGGACAAACAGATGCAAACATTTCTCCTCCTTTTTTTTTTTTTTTTTGAATACACTACTTTTGTTCTCCCTTTGGTGTCCCCATTGAGCATGGAAGGGCCTGGCTGAGACTTCAGTCTTTCTCTTCTAGGTAGGGTGGGGATGGGACTTGAGAACTGAGTGATGTTAAGCTCCAAATATCTGCAGACACAGTGTCATGTCTTGATGCTAATCTCTGCAGCTGGATTTCAACATGCGTAGTTCTAGCAAGCAGCACAGTGGTTGAGTGGTTTTTATTAAAGTAAGTGTAGCAACCTTGTGCATGAGCAAGCTCAGTTGATGTGATGTATCTGTTTAACCTGCCTTTGTACATTTTAGTTTGCATCTAAAAATTGGCCCACCTATTTAAACCCTTGCATGCAGACACATCTGCACTGCTTTAATCAGCCAATTTGATTACATTGTCTTGGATTTGTGTGTGGAGGGGCTTTAGGCAAGAGCAGGTTTGTGAGGTCTCTCTCCTTATGCATCCATGCAGTCAGTAAATATATTGGTTGTATAAAAGGAACCCGTTTCTAAGGAGGACTCTCTCAGTGGGAGCAAACGGTCCCCTCAAACGTCTATGAAGCCTGCATGTTTTTCAGATGCCAATATAAATAATGTATCTGCTAGACCTTTGGAGTCTCATCTTCTACTTTTGCTTTCCCCTACCCAGGAAGGGATATGATACAAAGATTTTCTATGCTGCTATTAGACAATTGTAACCAAAGTTCTTGAGTGATATTTTAATTAGTACTTGTATTATAATCAACCATCTCTTTTGCTTGTTATCGTGGGTCTTATTAGACTGTGTATCTGTGTAGGTAGGACATTATTTGTTGATATTTTACAGAAAAGTGAGAAGCTGGTTGGAATTCTGGAGATGCATCATCTGCTCCTCATAAAACTTTTCACAAATATATTTTAATGCCACAGAAAATGTAGCTTGGCTGGGAGCTCTGGAGGCCATACAGTCTAATCGTCTGCAGGAGGTCCAGTTAGAACAGCTTGCTCAGGCTTTGCCCAGCCAACTTTGAGCTTCCTCAAGGACAGAAACTCCACAACCTCTCTGGACATCTGTTCCAGTGTCTGATTACACTCGTGGTTTTCCTTTTCTGACTGGAATTCAGTGCTTTGAATTGACTGTACCGTCTCATCCTCTTTCCAGTCATTTCTGAGCAGAGCAGAGGCCGTCTCCATCCTTCCCCACCCTCGGCCTCCCAGAAGGTAGTTGTAGGCAGCAACTGGGTCTTTCTGTAGCCTTTTCTCAAGGCTAGAAAACTTAATTTCTTAATGTAGATCATATTCTTAATTTCTCTCTTAATGTAGATCATATTACAACTCCCAACTTGTTTTGGTGTCACTGTGCTTACATATGCAAAGGAGGTAATATCACTGAAGAGAACAACTGGAAGGTTGAAGGGGACATGAAAAATATCAAGACAAAATGCTGTAGTTAGCATTACAGCCGTGGCTTGGAAATTAGTGTCAAGTAGGCCTTAAGATTGCAGATAATGAGTACTAAGAAAAAGATGCATTTAATATGCTAAAAGGGCATATAAGGTTAGTGTTGGTAACCACTACAACAAGAGGAAGTGTTTATTGCCCTTCTTGTTTGTCCTCTTGCGAAGCCATCACCTCTGTCAGCCTGAGACAACTCCTTGCAGTGAACTTCCCATAGGCTTTTTTTCAATAAACTCTTCTACAAATGTTCTGCGGGATAAAGCTTGCTGTTTGCTCTGGGAAAAGATGCTGCGTCTTATATTACACTCTCCTTCCTTTTGTTGTCTTGCTGTTAATTAGCGTGAGGTTAGGGGAGCTGTGCTGACTGCTGCTGCTCCAGGTCAAGAGGTTTCTTGTGCCTAGGGACATGAGGTATCTTTGGAATGTCATGGGAACCCGTTGAGTGGAAAAGAAGGCCTTGCTTTGCTCCTGGAAAATTTTAGTTGTTCAATTAGTCTTTGCTGGAAAAATATACCTTTCTTAAAACCTTTCTTTAATGATGTTAAATCTTATTTAACGTAATGTTTCATTTCATTTAACATCATTAAAACTTTTAAAAGTTTTAAATTCAGGAATTTACTGTTCATCTGCTTTGAAATATTATTGATGTGCCCTGGGAGGTTTTTTCAGTCTGCAATTGAATGCGTGCAGGTAGACTGCTGTGGGAAACTGAAACCTCTTAAAAAAACCCCATTACATTACTATTAAAAATCAGATTTTTTTTTTTTGGTATTCTTATTTTAAATAACTCTGGACTTTAGTTATATCTCTTTTGGAGAAGAGTTGAAGTTGAGAACATGATAGAGCTTGCACGTGATTGGCAGTCTGCAGCTTGTGTGCATTCAGAAAGTCTTTGTTTTCTTGAGTTTGCTTTTATTAAGGTGGAATCAAGTATTTGCACGGTTTCCTGACGAAGCTGACAGTGGTTTTCTTGCTGCCAGCTTGGTTTTCCTCTTGATGCAGTGACTTTGGTTTATATAATGTTTGAGCTTCGTCTTTTTTGCTTTTGAGCCGAATCCTTCGCAACGCTGTTTCCTTGGGCAGTGCTGCCGTTGGGGAGATGATGCTGGAACAGCTGTCTGTCCACATCTTGCGTTGCTGTGATGTGGCTCGTCTGCAGCAGAATGGCCATGTTGAGACCCATGCCCCCTGGCATCAGCCTCAGGATGCTCAAGTGGGCCATGTGCAAGGCAAATACGTGTCCTTAGTCCACCTATTAAATACAAAGCACGAGGGGTGTGTTTTTGTTCTGTTTCACTTTGGTTTATACCAATGACTATAGCTTGGTGCCTCTGTCTTGCAGAGCCTGTTTCCAAAGCAAGAGTGCTTCAGATCTTTGCTTCTAGCTTTAAATCAAGAACTGGATGGAAATGGAAAGCCATAAAAGGAGCTCAGGAATGGTGTACAGCCATGCTAATGTGTGAGGCAAAGAAGGGGGGAGGCAGTTACCTGCTATCACTGTCTAAAAAACTAAAATAAAAACAAGAGTTGGGAAGTAATCAATTTTTCTTTCACAGCTCAAATAACTGCTAGTATTGAGACATGAAAACAGCTGCATTTTAGTTTTAATAGGCTGCCTGCCATCTTTTTCCTTTACAATCAAGTTAATATCTTGATGTCTTGTTCCATACAGGACTTCTTTACTTCTTCCAGAAATAATCAAACGTTGTATTCTGCACTAACTGAAGAAAAAGTGGTTCTGTTCCTGCATTTGCTAGGTATAGACACAAACGGGCATGCTCATCGGCCAAACTCCAGGTAATTTGAGAAACTAAGTATAGCTTTCCTATTAGTGTTGAATGCATGCCCCGAACTCTTTTTTTTCCTTTTTTTTTTTTCCTCAACTGTTTTTCTTAACAGTACTATTTACCAAGACAAAAACGTGACTTGTCTTGATGAGTTTCTATCTTAGGCCACAGAAGTCATTATGACTACTCATGCTCTTAATTTTTTTTTGGCGGGTGGGGGGGGTGTCGCTGTTTTAAATCTTCATGTATGAAGTGACTAATGTTACTGTTTTGCCTTGCACTTCGTAATGCTCCTTCAGTCATATCTGATTTTTAGCAGTAAAGGTGTGTGGGCATTACAGTTTTAAATGTAAAAGTGGAAGCAGTTCTTGAATTCCATCTATCAAAAACAAAAAAAAAGTTGAATTTACCAAAACCAAAAAGTTTAGAAATAATAATGCAGCCCTGCTTTAGCTTTACTGGGTGACTAGAGAGAGGAGAAAAAAAAACACAAAAAAGGTTTAGATCAACTTAAAATGTGCTTTCTTTTCACTCTTGAAATGCTCTGAATATAGAATTCTGTATTTTTCTCTTGCATGCTTCAAAATCTCCACCCTAATTTCTTATACTACTGCAAAGTTTGGACTTGCTATGTGTCTCATGTATGTCTTATTTTAAAATTAGTATTTTACAGGCACATTTTTTTTAAAAAGTGCACAGTCTTTGCTTTGTAAATTCTGTATCTGATAGTCAATTACTAGCTTCAAATAACTTTCAAAACTCACAATTTCGAGTTTCTGTTTCCTGGAATTCCTTTAAGTTTTGGCATTCGCCTTTGATTGCCTAATCGCTATGACTGATTAAATTATAGTCATCAATCAATGACTGATGGGATTTGAAACATAAATAAGAGGCCCTCTGAAACTGTAGTTTCAGGAACCTTAAAACTGCACAGTGATAAAGCAGCATCTCATCTAAGAATTGGAGAAAGAGATTTCAACTCTAGGATGCCTTTTGTTACCTTAAGGTCCTGTGAAGGACCATGTTGTCCGTAATCATGGGACTAGGTAGGATAACTCGCTGTCCAAGAGCCACCTTGATTCTAATATTGTTTTTCTCCTTTTATTTTTTATTTTATTTTTTTACAGGGAATACAAGGAAAATATTAAAAAAGTTGATGAGGGTGTGAAAGAAATTGCTTCAATGCTTGAAAATTTTTATGGAAATGATGGAAAAACTGCATTCATCTTAACTTCTGACCATGGAATGACAGATTGGGGTGAGCCGTTTTAAACACTGATAGTGAAACTTACTGGTGAATACCTGGAGTGGGATTAGAGGTCTGTTCCTTCAGAAGGTTTGAAGCATTTGCTTTGATTTAAGCCGTTTGCTTTGATTTAACATCCTAGATTTGGCCCTTTTATGAAGCCTATGTGAATTAGGAAAGAAATACAGGGCTGAAAGGGACCTCAGCAGCCCTGTGAAAAGAGAGATTGATATCTGGGCTGCAGAAAGAGTTAATAGGGTAGAGCTCAACACATTGAGCAGCTGCTAGTGAGTGAGTCAGAACCAAGAGAATGGGAGAAAAAAACCCTAAATACCACTTTTATCAGAGCCTCCCTGAAGGAAGCTCGCCTGGGCAAGAGGTGCTGTTTTGCTTGGCTGCTAACAGCAAATCTGGGCTTGCTCAGAGCCCCATGGCACAGAAATTTTCAGAGCACTTTGTTGCTCTGAGGTGCCTGGCAGAGGTGAGGGGAGCCAGAAAGATGGAGACCAACTTTGTGTCTCTCTGCTTGTTTTGTCCCTTAGGCCCCGCGGGGAAGGACAGGGCTGCTGCGTGGCCTTTCCAGAGGGGGCTGGAGCCAGGGCGTAGGTGCAGGGGCTGGAAGCACCAGGAGGGGAGCGAGAGCCGGGCAGATACCCGCCGGGGGTGCCTGGGAAGGACCTGACCACAGTGGGCAGTGACTTGAGGCACTCGGGGCATCGCTAGGCTGGGGCAGGGCAGGGAGAGTTTCCTGGGGTGAACTTGTTCAGACAAACTCCCCACTCTGCCCTGAGATCTTTAGGAACTTTCCTGTCCATGCTTGAAGTTGATTCATGTGAGGGGAGGGAAAAAAAGACTCCCTTAATGCCATAAACACAAGGATACCATTTAGGATACCAATTAAACTTTAATTTTCAATTAAGTTTTAGAAGGGTTAAATTACACTTTTATATTGTTTTTATCTCGGAAGGGAAAGTGCTTACAGCCATGTTCTTTGATCTGCTCAGATTTTTCCCCTTTCAATATTCTTGCTAGCCTTTTAAGACATTAGTAGTAGCTCTGCAAAAGGACAAGTTCATTTGTAAAACCTCAACTACCTATCTTTGTAAACATTAATAAAACAGTAATTCTGCTTCATTTCAAACAATAAAAAGTAAGAGATATTTAACAGTCTAGTGAGGCAGCAGTAGTGCTGTCATAGAAGCTGCAAAGTAACCGTAACCTTTTTTGCTAGTAAGCAGAGATGAGAGAGTGCTGTGGTACTATTTTCAGGTTTCTAAGAGAATATAAGTGGAAAATGCATGAACTTTTTAGTGGAAATTTTCCCAAAAAAAAAAAACGAGCTAAAGAAACAAAAAAACTCCCAAAAGTCAATACTTCAGCTTTGGAAGAGAAATGTAAATTAAAAAGACTCTAATAATGAAAGTACACTTGCTTTGAACAGAAAGTATCAAATGCAAGTGTCAAATGCAACAAGTTCCTTGTTGCAAGCAGTCAATGTGATTCTGTGAAAGAAAGCTTATGCATCAATCACAAATCTCATCTGTCCCTCTCCCTACACCTGCAAATAAATAAATAAATAAAAGATGAAACAGTTTCCCAGCTCCATCTGCTTCTAACTTTGGAGGTGAAGTAGTATGGACAGACTCTGGATATAGAAAAACTTGGAAGTAAAGCAAAATAAATGGATAAATGGCCAGATAGAGCACTTGATAATTCTGAGTTGCCCAAAAAAAAAAAAAAAGCTCTAGGGAGCACTAAACCCTGACAAGTTTGGTGCCTGGCACTTGTAGAAATTTTCATCTGCTTGGTGTACCTGTAGCTATTAATATCTATTCTTTTGAACCAGGGATGCTTTGGGGGTGGTCATGGCAAAACTAAAGGCCACAAGTTTTCTGTGTTATCCTAACCTTTTCACATGGATAGGATGCGGATTTGTCCTGATATCAGGGATGAAAAAAGTATCTATTTACTTATTCAAAATTGTCATAATTACTGTCAGCCTATTTGCCAAACAGGCCATTAGAGTATTATTTAGAGCTGTCACTTTTAATAAAAGATTTTAATTCCAACATATATATATATAAAAAATATTTCCTGCTTTATTTCGAGCTATCCCTTCGTATTTTTTCCTTCCCGTACGGTCAGTGGGCAGTGGGGAGGCCCAGCGCCCCGTTCCCAGCGCGGCCGCGCCTGTGGGGACGGGCCAGGTTATGCAGCCGGGCCTGGCGGGGCCTCCATGGCCGGAGGCCGCACCGCCTCTCGGGGAGGCCTCCTCCTCTGCGCGGCCCTCCTGCCGCTTTCCCTGTGCATCCAGCCTCTTGCTCCCCCTTGCTTCCCTCCGTGGTGTCCGTCCTTCGCAGCACGCCAGTGAGAGCCCAGCGCATGCTGAGGGGCCCCGCAGGCTCCCCCATCCATGACTGTCTCTGGCGCGGCCAGAGGAGGCCCTGCTCCCTCGGCCTCCCTGCCCAGCAGCTAGGCACCTGTCTTGCTCCAGCCGGTCCACGTCTCTGCTCTGTTGGGGGACCCCACGCTGGATGCGAGAGGCCATGTCACGAGCGCCCAAGAGAGGAGATAACCTTTCCCTTCAGCTCTTGTCTTTGCCAGGGTTAACATAGGCCATGCTGCCCTTGGCCCTCGCTGCTGCCAGCACATGCTGCTGCCTCCTGCTCAGCTCGTGTCTGCCAAGGCCCTCAGCTCCTCCTTGCAGGCTTGTGTGTCTCTATATGTACATATATACACCTTTATGTGTGTGTGTATGCATGTATGTGTGGGTATGTGTATGTATGTGCATACACATATGCATACCTGGAAAGTATTCAAATACCTGCAAAGACCAGAACCTGCTTCTGCTTAGCGTGTAGGTTAGTGTTGGTAGGTGAACCCTGATCAGCTTTGCTGTCAGTGCATCTAGAAGAGCAGCTAAGGAAAAGGTAGTGAAAAGTACTTCTGGTGAGCTGGAGAAAAGAAGAAAAGACGTTAAGGCTAATCTCGTAGTCTTTGAGAGCTTCTGCTCTGTCATAGTTTTCTCTGTGACTCCCATTTTGTTTAAGGAAGAAAAAGCATGATTTTATATGAGGAAGCTTAATGACATCAAAATTGACTTTAGTGAGTGCAAGAGCAAACCCAAAGGAGAGGCGCTGCACCCCAGCCAGCAAGCTGAAGGGTTGGCTCAGTAGCCTTTTAATTAGATCTGTAACTTCAGCAACTGCTGCTTTTTTTTTTTTTTTTTTTTCCTCCTGCAATTATCTCCAGATGAAGATGGACACCAGGTTTTAGAAACAARAAGTCTCTKAGKKAAKAKAKCWTAKCTAKACCTGGTACAACCCCGAAACTAGGAGTTGTGGGCAAAGACAGAGAATGCCCCTGCTAGGGGGTTCCTTACAGCTGGATTCTCTTACCAGACCTGGGTCTGTATGTTCTCAAGCTTAAAAGGAAGCCAAGCGGTTGTTTCCTTTCTGCCATAGCAATCATTCTACATTCAGTGTCAGCCCTATTCCCAGTGTCACCTGGTTCTGTAAAATAAACTCACATGCATGAGTGTATGCACATATATAGATATGTACATGCACAAAGATGGAGGTAGAGTCTATACACCCAAAATGTATAATCCTGTAAAGTGTGAAGTGACGGCCATAGATTTTGTATGAGCATCTCCTTCCCTCCAGGACTGGCTTCTGCCACTGCTGTGGTACCTCAGCTGCTGAGCTGAGTGATCAACAGATCCTTCAAGCTTGTGTAGCTGCTGCCGAGATGTTGTATTTATTAAAGCTTTCTCCTTTTGGCAGCTGATAAATTAATTTTGAGGAAACCAGTTTCCCCAGGGAAGGAAGTCATGTTTTATCAATTTTTAAGGAGTACACTGCTGGGCTTTATAAATGGTAAAACTTAACTTGCATCTGTAGGAAAGTGTGACTGTCATTATGCACATTGTCTCTTGTTTTTGAAATAGAGGTCTAATCCTTATCTAAGTGCCAAAGAGGTGAGTTTTGTGTAATTTTAGGCACACATTTCATTTTGCACAAATGTGTCGTGTCTGGTTTCCATGGAACCCTCAGGATAGTCACGCACACACTGCTTGAGCAGTGAGCACCTCTCCACCTTTCCAATGCTTCTATTTTGATTTCTGTTTCTGTATTTTAAAAATGAAGAGAAGAAAAAACTGTTAAAACACCTTGTATATTTTTATAGACTTGATTTGCTTAAATGCCAGCAATTCCCACCCTATAACTTGGATTCATTCTCAAATAGCAGAAAATAAGTTGTGAAGCTAGGGAGGTTCGTCTCTAACAGAAGCTTAGATATATGTACTTTATTTTGCTTTTAAGCACAGTGCATTTTGAATTTTGTTTACAGTAGTTTCGATTTTGTGCACCTTAGGATCCCATGGAGCTGGCCATCCCTCAGAGACCTTAACACCTCTGATTGCTTGGGGTGCTGGAGTGAATTACCCACAGAGGGTTGCATCCCAGTTCTTTGAAGACAGTTTTTTGCAAGGTATGTAAAATGCAAAACTTGAAGTGCAAAATTTTGGTTGAAGGGCAGTGTTTAACCCTTACACCTGTTTGGCTTCACCAAGTGGCCTCACTTGGTGAGGCCACTCCTTACTAAGGAAGCTTAATTCTTAGGTAGCCTTCTAGAGGTTAAAAGCTATTTGTACAGAAACATAAAACTTGGCATGTCCTAAGCCCCTTTCCCAGCTTAACAGGAGAGCCCTGGGAACTTGCCAGGGGCTGGCTTGCCTCATTTTAATCCTTGTGGCTCTTGTGGAAATGTAAACAGTCTTTCTCAGTAAAAAGTGACGTGGCTCTTCTCTGTTATTTTTCTTCCTTGGAGTTTATTTAAAAGGAGTAGATATCATTTTTTTTTTCCTTTTAACCTATTTAATATTTCAAACATAATAAATAGTGGCTTATTGGAGCATTTCTGCAATTTAAACAATCCATGTGAAAAACTGTGTAAACCCTTCCTTTTATATATGCTCTGGTTTTGGAGCCTGCTTTGCTTCTGAGTGTTGAATCTCTTTGGTTATTACTCAGGATCAAGGAGGTAATGGCTTTCTGTTTTTATTGCATTGCTTATCAAGCTACGTTAGAGGAGAGAAAACAGGCAGCAATGTCTTCAGGCCTGAGGTTTCAATTCCACCTTGCTCTTGAGGAATCACTGTAGCTAGGACTCTATAAACATGACTTCTTAACTCTAGATCCTGCCAATGTTTCACTTTCTGTGGTCACTGGCTGGTATAAGATTACAGCATCTCTAATAGCTCTAAAAATAAGTTGTGGAACAATGGAAAATAGAGTGGAAGTGACTGATTTGATCGTGCTTACGATGGATTATCTGTTAGTATCTTTAAATGTCAGTCCATAATAGTTGATTTTTTACAGCTGTCGCAGTTCTTTTCGTTCTCGGTGGTTTTGGTACAGACCTCTGCATCTGGTTGCAAGTAAGGATGAAAATGCTGTGAGAGCATTTGGAAAGGATGAAATAGGTACTGAGCTGACATCCAGGTACAGATGGTAGGATTTTCAGCTGTTACCTGTTAGAAAATGTTTGCTCACCTATGGGAGGGAATGTCTGCACCGTCTTGTGTCCCCCTGGATAGTCTTGCACTGGTTTAAAACAGACAAACAAAAAACTCCACAATTCCCCCTTCCTTACTTACTCTGCAGTAAGGGGCTTATTCTGCAGTCTTCTGTCTGAAAAGCCTGGTCTAAGTCCGCTTCGAGGCTCCGTTCACAGCTTTGTAATTGCTGGGAGTAATGTTGAGAATACCCTCTGGTTGCTGAGTGCTCCCTCTCTGCGGCAGGCCGTGGCAGCTCCCGGTACGCTCTGCGGCTTGCCAACAGAGTGGCTGTTTTGGCACTTCTGCAGGTCGGTACAGAGAACAGCTCCTGCACCAAGATACAACAAGGTACAACATCACGAGTGTTTTCTTAAAGCTGAGAAATGAAAGACAAGATGTTAGTAAGAAGTCTCAGTGACGTTCTCTGTGTTTGCCTCTTCAGCTCCTTCTCCAGGAGAAGCTGAAACGGTTTGCAGGAAAGGCGAGCTCTGTTGCTGTAGGTGCCCAGTTTGCATTTGACACGGCATGCATCTGTATTCCAAGTTCCTGCATCCACTGGCAATCCTTCCTACTTTCTCCAAGTTAGGAGTTCATGGAAACAGCACATTATTTTTAGAGCTGACCAGCTTATTCTCCGTTCAGTGCAAGCTGGCTCTGGGACGCTCAGTGAATTGTCTCCTTTCTCCCCATGCCCAGCAAGGGCACGTGTTCCCAGAGGCAGTGCCTGCAGCTGAGTCTGGGTCTGCCCAGTCTGCCATGGGATCACAGGGTGGTTGAGGTCGGAAGGGACCTCTCAAGATCATCTAGTCCAACTCCCCTGTTCCTGCAGGGATGCCCCGAGCACGGGGCAGAGGAACGAATGTGTCCCTCAGGGGGCTTGAGGTCAACTAGAAGATGCAGCAGATAGAGCACAGCCTGTTCAGCTTATGGTGATACAGAGGAAGGGGCTGTGGCCCCCTTGTTGGCATGAGCTGTGGCTCTTCCATGGAGGAAAGATGGGGTAAAGAAAGGAAACAGCTAAACTCCATTTTGAAGTAGCTTTCCACCCCCAAAGAAAGCACAGAATCAGACACTTTCTTCTTCCTTTCCTATGAGGTTGATGGTGAGCAGAAAAATGCTGGTTTTGAACCAACTTTTTACATGCTGTGCCACAGCTGCAGGGGCCAAAGGGACATTTGTTTCATCTGTGCTTTGGGCTTGTTGTGATTGCTAAATCACTGAACTTTTCCCTTGAGCTTGCTCTTGGCCAGCATTACATATGGCAGACGTGTGAAGTATGTTTACCACCCTGTACCAGTATATGGGACCTTGGGTTAACCTTTTTAAAAACTATTTAAGAGATTTAAACAGATTTTCTCCTCAACCTGCCTTGGTATCTTCCAGTTGGCACAGAGGTAATACATCACTTCATGCTGTATTGAAGAAGAAGGAAGAAAATTCAAAACACTTGGACTTTCTTCAGCTGTTCTGGGTCACAGTTGCTGCCTGCAATTTATGCTGAGGGATAAAAGAAAATGTGAACTGAAATGGAAGTGTTTTACTCTTTCTGCCTGTTGAGTTCCATCTATAAACCCTCTTGAGCTAGGATCCGAAAGCCAAATTATGATTTTCTTTAGTAGCAGCACGTTACAAAAAATGGCAACAGGATATTACATGTCAACTGAATTATCCATATGAAATCTATGTAGATTAATTATTCACGTGTTTTCTTGTTTCTTGTAGAATGGAAACTGGAGAACTTCAAGAGGCTGGATGTCAATCAGGTATTAAACATGCCTAATTTACTAGGTCATAAACTTTGTTTTTTACATCGTAAGTTTTGTGTGATTTAGACTAGTGGAAGGAACATGAATGAGCGTTCCAACAGACATAACATTTTCCTGGAATGTGTTACGTAATGTTAAATGAAGAGCTGCAGGAACTGCCCTGAGACTAAACATAACATGAAAAAAGCTTTAATCGTGTTTAACGGACGTGGCAAGTGCATATAACAACCCTTCCTGAAGAAGACTTCTCACACCATTCTGAACGGTTTGGGCATATGGCACTGTAGAGAGAATGCAGAACAATATGCTAGCTGCTCCTTGAAAGCTTGACGCCAGTTACCTCAGCAGTGCTTTGAATAGCATGTAATGTCTTCAGAGTAAGTGCCCCCCTAAACAACAAAAAAGCTTTGGAAATAATTTATAATGTTTTCCTTCTGCTTTCTACTTTGAAAGCATTTTAGAAGGGAGCTTGTGCTTCCTCTTCTGTGCATCCTGGGGAATGCCCAGCTGAACACAAAGCCTGGTCTCATGCCTGGTCTACTTAGTGAGCACCTTTACAATGCTGTCAAGCTGCCTATTTGTGTGTTCAGTGTGGCTTTCCACCATTTTGGTGTCTGTGCTTTTTGCCACTTTTTTTTTCCAGATGCTGCTATCATTATTAAATCATTTTTTGCCGTGGTCTTGGATTATGTGTGGGGCTTTTTCTGCATGTGTGTTTTATTTTGTTTCGTTTTTCTTTTGTGATTAATCCCCAGGCATGTGGTAATTCAGACAAGTATTTAGCATGTTCCTGGAAAGGAAGAAAAGAGTGAACTTTTTAACCTTTGGTTTTGAAGCAGCCACGTTTTTATAGTGTTTTTCCTATAACACATGGCACGCATGCATGCACATACCCAGAAACTCAGGCTCATATGTTAAAGTTTGGGAAGCTCTGGATCAGCAGCTTTCCGTAAAGCGCTGCTGTGAAGCTGGAGATGAGCTTGGTCTCAAGGGTGGCAGGAATTTGGGGAATGTTATTTCTAGAGTCACGTAGAAGACTCTTGAGTGAGTCACTTTGTTCCTGGTACTGGACTTTGCAAAGACACCAGTGCGTGTAGAATTAAGTGTAAAAACAGCTAATTAATTTCTGCTTGATATTACACTACATGGGTTGTGTCCTCCGCAAATAATGGTTTGGTGTTTGCCTTTGCACAGTAGTTCTGAGGCTGTAGCAGTGCCTTTGATTTTGATAGAGTTGCTTCAGCTTTATGCTGGAGAGAAAAAAAAAATTGAAGAGTTTTGGTGTATAGTTTTGCATTAAGGGAAAATGTAAACCTAGTAAGAGCCAGTGTTCATACAAGTAAAAAGGAACAGTAGGTCATTTTATGAGAAATCTTACTGTAGGTAAAGAGACCCCCTTAAGGATTAATGGGCATAGTAAACTTACAGAATCCCCCTGCAAAGGGGAGCAAGTGAATAGCTAGCACTAAGGGAACAGGGCTTAAGAAGTGCTTTTAAGTGCTTTTAAGAACAGTATGTTTTATGGACAGCTTAAAATTGTAAATACGGAAATAGTTCCTTCTGTGGTGTAAATAGTAATAAAAAGTGGTATGCTCTTCTGCGGGCAGGGAAAGACATGTTGGATTTCTGTGAATGTATACTGTGGGGTTTTTATATTTGCTTTTAAACTAAATGTATTTTCAAAACAGTACTAGAGTCTCGCTTTTTGAATCTAATCATGTCATGCTGCTGCTTGAAACAGTAAAGAATATTATGAAGGGGTTTAATACTGTGAAGCTCTAACTTGTAATACCATTTACTTTGCCAAATACAGATACATAAAAACTAAACTAAATTTATTAGCTCTGTAAGCTGGAAGTATGTTAAAATGGGGGTGCTTCTGTTTGCACAGGCTGATATAGCACCACTGATGGCTTCTCTTATCGGTGTTCCTTTTCCTCTGAATTCTGTGGTAAGAAGTTAAAATTATTTACCTTATGATAGCAGTTTTCTGTTCTTAGAGGAAGAGGTTTTCAAGAGAAGACTTGAGGATGTAAGACAGGGGAAGATTAGAGTTTTGGAAAAATTATTGTAGAAAATGAGGACTGCATGTGCTTTTAATTGTGCATGTCTCTCTTGAGATTGGAGAACTCAATCTTCTGATATATTGTTTAGATTTTAAATTTCCAATTGAATAATCTAAAATTTTATGCTCTTAAGCTGGATGAAAGTTTTGTTGATTTGTAATTGGGGCTGGTAAAATGCAGTTTGGTTCAAATAACATTTGGGTTTAATCATGGAAGTTGAGCCTGTAAAGCCAGTTCCTGCAAATTAATGTTAAATGCTCTTTTAATTTAGTGTGCTGAGTCTTTTAGATGATATCTTGTACCACTAATTCAGTGAACAGTTCCTCCTTGTGAGATGATGTTTTCTTTGAATTTGTTTCCTGTATTTTCATATAGTCCAAAGGTAGTCTAATATATTTTTGCTATTGATCAATAAAATCTGTAATGAGTGTTTCTATTTCACATGAAAAGCATCTATTTTGAATGTACTTCAAAATACTATTTTTTTCTGGCAACTTGCATGAGATTCTGTGCCTGTGCTTTTACTCATTGCTGCTCCTCGGAACTCTCTTGTGAGCGAAGTTGCCCAACATGCCGAGAAAGGCGTCGGAATTGCTCGCTCGCGCCCTGGGAATAATGGCCCGGGCGAGGGCCTGCCTGGAACACTGAAGTATTTAAAGAATGGACTCTGATTACTGGCTGGGGTTTTAGTATTATGTAGTGTAAAATGCCACAGCTTCTCCTATTTGTCTTTTTTGTGCGGCTGTGGGAGTTGGGATATTATGAACAGTCCTTTTGATGGAGAGAAATGATGCAGGAGGACTATTTTTAGTTTTAATGGAGTTACAGCAATTACCTCAGTAGTAATTTGATTTTTTTTTTTTTTGTTCGCTCGTCTTGTCATTCAGCTCAAGAAATTCATGTTTTTTTCAGTTAGATCTTTGAGATGTACATGTGTGTGTAACTACCTGTGTCTATATTTTTCTCTCCAGGGAACTCTGCCTCTGGACTATCTGAACAGCAGCGCTCATTTCAAAGCAGAGAGCATGTTTACAAATGCCGTTCAGATTCTCGAACAGTTTAAGGTAACTAAAGACATACTAAAAAGAGGGAAAGTAATCTCTTAGAGTAATAATTCTTGTTGCTCTTTGTACAAACTGTTAGACTAGAACAAATATTGTTTACAGCATGCTGTAATTCAAAGAACTAAAATTGAATGCAGATACTGGGTGATATCGATTAACTAGCCATGAACTAAATGTGAGTGGATTTGAGAGACTTTAATGAATGTCATTTTGGAAAGAAAACGAGTGCCCGCTTTTCTTGATTTTAACATAAATGTTGGTGTTTGTTGCTTCTAGTTTATCATCCCTGCTTGCAGTGAGTAGGCAGGCAGGCTCTATTTGGAGTGCTAAATTTTGAAGAGGAAATGTTTCCTTTGAAACAGTGCCCAGGACACACAGCCTAAACTCAGGATCAGTAAACAAACAGATCAAAAGGTAGTGGTCACCTGCGTTAATGAAATGCAATTAGTGCCTTAATTACCTTTTAGCTAATGGTTTCATATCAGCCTTTTCTTTCCTGCCCCATCTAATATTGAATATTATTATGTTAGGAGAAGTCTTTTCTGTCCTGCTCCATCTGATACTGAATGCTACTGTGTTGTGAGGACACTTCTGAGAGCAAAGGTTCTGCTTCACTAGATGCTCTTCAGTTGTAGAATAAGAAACCGTCTCAAATCCCAGAATCTCACTTTTGACAAAACCTAGAGATGCCGTGAGGCAATGACCAGGACAGAGTAAGGAGCTTAGCTCAGATGTGCTGCATGAGGTGAGCGTGGAGGTCAGCACTGTTGGCATCTCCTGTCTCTTGAACGCCCAGGCTCCCAGTGTAGTTTGCATAGATACCGCATTGGAAGTGTTGGTTTCCAAATCTGTGGTGGCAAGCTTGCGTGCAGCAGAGATGACACGAGTTGGACGTGGCTTTAATGCAGTTTATCCAACACTCCTGGTCGGTATAACCACTGGAGTCCAAAGACCTTTCTGCTTTAAGCACTGAAAGTGTCAGCTCTTTTTTAAGTTAAACTGATGTCTTGGGGAATATTTTTTTCCTTAAGCAGGTCATCCTTTCTCTAAGCTTGTTTTCATTCAGTCATTTTGTGGTGGTAGATTTGTTTTCTTCCTCGCTGGCTTGTTTCTGGTATTGTTTTGGGCCGATCGTGTGTGAACTCCTTGGGTTTCTGTACTGGGAGCAGAAGCAGCGCGCGGCTCGGACACGCCAAGCAGGCTTTTGCTTTTGCCATCATGGGCTGACCTGAGCACGGCTCGTCCTCCCTGCGGAGGATGTTGGTTTGGACAGATCGGATGCAACATGTGGATTGCTCCTTAAAGCTCTCAGAGTCGGGGGTGCAGTGTGCTAGAGACTCCTAGCTCTGCTTCATGCTAGTGGTCAAACTGGTGCAGGGGGCCCCAAAGATATTCTGAAGGGCCTTGGACAAAGCGATTCCAAATGCAGCACAGCCTTGGCCATTACTCAGGTGCAGGTAAATCGGTCTAGTAATAGAATAATAGTTCTTTGAATGTTGCTGAATGGGCCTGGGTTGAGAGGTTACTTTCTTTAAAGTCCATCTGGTCTTTTGCAGCACTCAGAGGAGCTACAAGTGCCTGTTTGGTTGTTAACAAGAGAGCGATACCCCTTTTCCTGGACGGTTTATTGATCACTCATTAGAGAATGCATAAATGTATATTAATATATATTAATAATATATAAATATATATTTTTAATGCAGGTAAAGATGACTCAGAAAAAGGAAACAACATTGTCGTTCCTGTTCACCCCATTTAAGTAAGTGCCTGTGAAAATTGCATACATTTTCTTTTTACCTTATTACTTTTGATATTTCAGTGGGATGCAACAACAAAGAAATTTGGTCTCTTCAGTCTTTTCATTGAATGAGTCTGCCTATCCAGCTCTTAAACTGTTAAAGTTATGCAGTTAATTTCTATTCAAAAATTCTATCCAAAGGAGATTTTTCTAAAAACCATATAATTTAATCCTTAACTGAGGGCTAAATGTATTATTTGCCTATCCTTTCTGACAGGATAGCTATGTATAGGCTGCATGGTAATTTTCACTGATTTAAAAAACAAATGCCTTGGGAGATGCAAGTCCCTATAGGCTTAAGAAATACTACCCATTTTTATCCTTGTTTATATGTAGAAGAAGCAGAACTTGGAAATGTTTCTTCTGTGATTTAAAAACTAGTATTCTAGGAAAAAAAAGGGGCGGGAGGAAGAAAAAGAAGAGCCTTTGCAGCTAAAAGAGAAGCTCAAAATCTTTAAAATTTGTGCTGTCTGGCATTAGAGTTTCCCTGATCATGAAAGGATTTCCAAAATCTTTTTTGCATCTGTGACCTCTGTGTTCTAGTGTATAGACTTGCTCACCCCTCACTCTTACCCAGTTAAAGCCTCATTTTTTTTTCCACTGACAGGCTTTTGAAAGGTTTCCTATGGGTGTATGTGGGAATAGGCAGTTCTGCCTTCAGCTTGTGGAGTGCTTCATAATGCTTTGTCATTGAGAGCAGCTGTTTTCCTTTGGGAAATAAAGCTGATGTTAATTAAGGTCCGTAAATCATAGGAGCTGTGAAGTACTTGAATCTTTCCTATAAAGTATATTTAAGTGCTAAACAGGATTGCTCTCTTTCTGAGCGGAGATTTACTGTTACTTTACACCAATAGTTTCCTCAAAGGGAGAGGTTGAAAATGCTTAGCTCCTGAGATCCCAATCAAGTCTTGGCCACATTATCTTGGGTACATAATGAATGTTTTAGCAAACATTTGATTAAGAATGACAGTTTCATTATCAAATAACTTCTTGCTCCATATGGAGCAAAAATGCCATATGGAAAGGTTGCTCAGTCATCTCTTTTTTTGAATCTGTGGGGAAGACTGATAGTTTAGTTTTGCAGCTCTTGTGTATATTTTACTATCTTCTTGTCTCCTTCTCCCAGGAAATTTGTTTCTGTAAAACAGGATATATTTTTCTGAAGTTAGTGCTAAATTTGCCTATGAAGGACCTAAGTGTTACTGATTGCCTCATGGACTAGTGTTTTCTCTCCTTTTTGTAATACATTGGATGTTTTAAGTGGAAATGCCAGAAACATTTATTACTTCAAAAAATATGAATAAAACTTGATATGAACATGATGTTACTTTGATATGGTTGATTGCAAAAATGCTTTCTTAGGTACTCTTAAATTGCTTCTAAACAGAGCTTGGGTTAATGGTCCTTCCAAGGCTTATACATGAAACTAAGAGTGCCTTAGGTTTGCGAGTTATTTGCAAGTTGTGTGAAGAATGACTTTGGTTCCTAAAGAAGACAATCCTTCAGCCTAGAAGGAAAGAAAAGATTTCATAAGCAAGCTGTCGTGGTGTTAGTATGAGTATTAATGTCAGTAGTTATGCTGCTGTGCCTGGGCAGTGCTAGCTACTTGGTCGTGTGCTCTTTGACTCCTCAGAGCTGCCCTGGCTCTGGGAACCTACCAACCAACCTTGTCCAGCTGATAATTTGGATGAGGCACTGGAGCACCAGCTTGGTTTTAAGCAGAGATGTGACTTCCTCGTGGTGCAGCTTATCGGAACAGAGGGGAAACCTTGGCATGTGGTGCTTGCAGCCCCGGGGCCTGTCCCTCCCCTGGAGGCTGCCCTGTGGGAGCAGCAAGCACCAGGCTGAGCGTCAGCTGCTGCAGTTCTCCTGCTTTATTCTTCACCTAATTTATTGAAATAATTTGAGGTTCCTCAGATGTCCAAGCTAGATCTGCAGGACTGTGGATAGGTCTCTTTCTGCGGCCTTGTTGTGGCACTGGAGGCAGGCCAGGTGTTGTGTGTGTTTGGGCAGGTGGAAGGTGCACATTTACAGTTATCACAACTAGCTCGGTCAGTGTTAACTTTCAGATCCCTCAGACTGGCTAGCACGTAAGAAGGGCTTTTTGTTTCTGAGCACCTAGTGAGCACCTCAGAAAGACTCGAGCCCAAAAGGAAGCAATGTTATTGCCCATGGGATCCGATTTATTGAAAGCTGGTAATGGAGCACCACTAGTATCGCTATACTGGATTAAAAACTTGCAAAATGAAATATGAATGCAATTTTATATTAGCACCCTCTTGAAGGAAGGGAGAATGAAGATGAGAAGAAACATTAAACTAAATTTCACAGACTCACAGAAGAGTTGAGGTTGGAAGGGACCTCTAGAGATCATCTAGTCCAACCCCCCTGCTCCAGCAGGGACACCCACAGCACGGGGCACAGGGCGGCATCCAGGCGGGTTTGGAAGATCTCCAGAGAAGGAGACTCCACAGCCTCCCTGTGCAGCCTGTGCCAGGGCTCTGGCACCCTCACAGTGAGGCAGTTCCTCCACACATGGAGACGGAACTGCCTGTGTTTCAACTTGTACCCATTATTCCATGTTCTGGGATAGTGGCCATCACTTTTTTTTTTTGAGTAAATGTTAAAAGGATAGAAGATTGGTGCTCTTGCTGTACCTTTTTCAGGCCAAGATTTCAGAAGGCAAAGCTCTGAGGACACCTTCCCCAGCCTGCAGCAAGAGCTCTCCTGCTGTGCTGTTGTGTTTCAGAGTGATTAGGGTTCAGTATCGGTACAGAGATTCTGTTTCTGCACAGCTACACAGAGTTTGACCATCTCAGTGTAGTGTTAATGGAAGCTTTCCCACAAATTAGTCTCAGTCTGTGATTAGCCATGTCTGCTGCTGCAGCCAAGCACAATTCCGCGTTGCCTTTCTTCCTGTCACTATCCATCTCATTAAGACAACCTCTCCCACTATTGATGGATTTGAATTTTTGTACCAAGGAATTAAATGTCTTTATTGTTTTTCTGTTCATCCTCCTGGTGTTTGAAACTTTTAACTCAAAGCTCAGAAAGAGTTTATGCCAGCAAAGTACTGCATTCCTCCCTAGTTTTTTCAGAGCTTAGTGAAGCATAAGTCATGTCTGTTAAATGCCTTAGGTCTATCAAGCTTATGTGGAAATAGAAAATGCAAATATTCTGTGTGAGAATATTACAGATTTTATGTATGTTTTAGCATCACAGGCATACTTCGTTCATTTTTAAAGTAATCAAGTATGCCTGTAAGAATAGTCTGACTAAAATTTGTCAGTTAGCCTTAAAAACTGGAACTGAACAAATGGTATTTAAGTTTGTGCAATGGGAATGTCAATCTGAGTTAGGGAATCTAAAATGTCAGACTAAGATGTTCCCTTTTCAGTGAGGTTGATGTAATTATTATTAAAGGTATTTTTAGGGCTGGCTGAAAATATGTTCACGTATTATCAGAAACATGAGCTTTTTTCAGCCAGAAATAATACAGAAAGGTTCATTCCAGTACTTCCTGGGGAAAACTGCATTTCCCAGGTTGCATTTTCGAATATTTTATTTCTCATTGCCAAAAAACCTGTTCATGAGCTTCAGATGTAATGACTTAAAAGCTAGTCTCTGGGTTGCCTGTTGAGGCTGTCACACCTGACATGTGGGCTAGTTTGTCTACCTGCCAAGCCGGTTTTTGCTGCTTGCTAGCATAGAGCAGGCAGGGGAAAGGAGGCATAATGTCCCTGCTGCAGGATTCTTCCAGTTTCCACGGGAATCTGTTTCCTAGAAGCAGTATGAGTAGCACGATGGACAGAGGATGGCCGTGGCGTTTTGAACGTGCCCTTTCTTTGCAGGATCCCAATTGGATCTTTGGGTGAAATCCAGCTGTTGAGTGCGTCAGGATGGGGAGGATGCATCTGATGGCCGTGTTGTGCTGTGGAAACTTGGGGAGCATCTACTTGGGAGGGATTGGGGCAGGTTAGAGTTGGGGTGGCTGGAGCTGTTCCCAAGGATGTATCTGGCTGTTGGTAAAGCTCTTTAGTCGCTGCCTCTTCATCAAAAAAGGAATCTGAATGAAAGACGAAGTGGAGGCTACCTGTGAAACAGAGTATTGAGGCATTTCCAGAAGAGCTCAGCTGCAAGTGTCCGGTAATGCTGCCTGGCAAGGGGCTCAGCCAGGGGGGGACACCCAGAGGGACAAATACAGAAGGGCAGGAAATTGTCCCCTGCCTTGTACACAAGTTAACTGAAAGGCTGATACTGAAAAATTGCTTTGAATGTTGACCTGCAATTCCAGCTGGATACTTGGAGAGATTTACTGTCTTAAATGAGTTTAGTCCCCATTCCTTTCTACTCCCTGCATTTTTCTCCTGCTATGGAAGGCAAGGTTTCCAAAAGTTACTTTCTTTGCGAAATCAGAAGCTCATCTTACCAGAGACGAAGGCACAGTGCTTTGACCTTTATGTTTAGAAAAAAGCAGGCATCAAGATGCCACAGCTTCAAAGGAGGAGTGAGGGAGGACAAATCTAGATTGCTGACAGGGGAGAACTCACGTCCAAGAAAGTTCACTATGTTATTAGCATTCTGACCATTTGATGTACCTTGAGGCAAGCGCAGAGCTGGCACAGCTTGCGGAGGAGTACGCCAAGGGGCCAGATGCTGCTGCAAAAGCAGCCCCACAGCTGGCATCTCTGGGCTGTGAAAATAATCTTGAAAGGAGCAGGAGGACTGTTGTACTGAGGTGAGTAGATGGGACATGAATGTCACACTAAAATCCTCTTAACCAATTAATTCAATTTGATTATCCCAGCAGGTGCAAGAGATTTAAAATATTAAATCACACAAAAGCACAGAGGTGCCTCTTGGGTGTGCTGGGTGTATACAATTTTTTTTTTTTTTGAGGGAAAACTGCTCCCAGCTGTTAGGGTTCTTGTTGCCTTACAACAAGATAGACGGGCAGTAGT